TAATCTTTGTCACAGCCGTGTTCACTTGTATTCTGGTTGGTATCAACAGTGCTATGATCTCGGTGTTTGGAAAACTAAGAGAAAGCACAGCAGACGATCTAGACGTTATCTTGTTCCTCAAGTACATACTTTTTTCAGCATTGTCTTATATTTTTGAAAGTCTGATAGAAGTTTGCTCGTATCTCTGTACATTTTTCTGTGAGACCTTCATTTCCCATTGGCTGTTTGCTCAAAAAATGAAAAATGATTTTGACGAGTTTTCAAAATTTACACCTGAGGAACAGTACACTAACTTTACCATTAAGAAAGAGGCATTTGTGAACATGGTGTCTCTCGTGTTCTTTTCCATTCCAATGAATGCGATCCTGACAGTATTTCTCTTTTATAATATTCTAGCATCCCAAAAGGATAGTGCTTTGAAAAACACTATTCTTGTGTCCTGTGTTTGCTTGATCTACTGTACTGTGAGTAGAAAAGCTGCCTCTCATAGAAAGAATCTAAGGCAAGCATATAATGATTCAAAAATGTCAAAAAATGCATTTTGTAGAATGGCGCTTGATAACTATGAGATTTGTACTGCAGACAGACAACAGGAGGTCCGATCAAAAATGTTCAGAGACAGAGTTATTTCACTTGCATCTCATGAGTACAAATATTTTTTTCTTTCTGAGAATTACAGGCTATTTACACGAAGCTCAATAGTTGCACTCAAACTTTTGTTTCTGTTTTTCCGAATGAATGATGAGTCTATGGCTGTTGGCAAAATATTACTAATGATAGATCAGCTAAATCAATCGGTGCTTCGATTAAGAAATGATCTTTTCAGGATTTTAGAGTATTGGAATGAGTGTGCAGCATCCATCACTGAACATTGTGGAGCCGATAATAGCAGAGCCAACAGCGATTCAATCCTTAGTGAGAAGGAGAAGTTGTCTCTTTCATCATTATTCATCAAGAATCAGCGATGTATCACATTGAATTCATCTAATGAGATGGTAGTTTTCGACAAAGGAGATGGTTCAAACAAATACACACATGTTCTTGTGATGAACCGATGCTCTAAAACACTGGTTTTCGGTCAATCAGGTTGTGGCAAATCTACTCTCCTGAGATCGCTGATTGGCATTCATAGCTCCCAATATGAAGTAAAAATAGGGGATGCGGATGTATTGTCAATTGAAAAAAAACTTTTATTTTCTAATATATCTTTTTTGTTACAAAAACAGCTCATTTTCAACAAATCCATTGAATTTAATCTACTCTATGGTACAGGTCTTACTCCAAAAGAACTAGCTGAAAAAATTGCTTTTTTCAATCTTTCACAGTATTTTGAGCAATTCGAGCATGGACTGAAGACAACTATTGGCAGTAAATCATGTGGTCTGAGCAATGGCCAAAGACAGATGGTATGCTTCCTGAGATGCCTGCTGCGAGATGCCCCAATCTATATTTTCGATGATCCTGGGATATTTCTTGATGATTACTCTGAAAAGTTGGTATATAGTCTGATTTTCTCACTTTCTAACAAAATTGTCATAGTTGCTTCCCAGTCCAACAGACACTCTGATCTGTTTGATCAGGTTGTTAAGCTCAAAGACCCAGAACGAACTGTTTGCACCAGCAAATAAGCATTAGTTGTGATTTAGCCAAAGCCAATTAAACAGTAGCTTATTTTAATCTATTGTATTGCTGTTTAAAATATGCTGATTTTAAATACTTTTAAGCATTTTCAGATTATTATTACGTAAACTAAGAGTTTGTGAAAAATCGCTGTAAAAAAGCCTTCAGAAAATAAGCCAAAACAATTAAATTAAAATGTGTGTGATGGAGAGTGGCCCTAATGAGCACCACTTCAGCACTTTCTGTACTTCTCGGGAACGAACACTATAAAGAATCATAGCTTCAATGAGAGAAGTAGGGGTAAAATTTTTTAGTGCTTTTAAGCCCAAGAATGGGATCATGCATTTACTACAAATTTAAATCATACAAAGACTTCTCGACAGTTGTATTTGAGGGGACAGGGCTGCCACTATGGGAGCTGAAGTATGAGATTGTTTCACAACGAAAAATGAATGCAAAAGACTTTGACCTGTTGTTCTTTGATGAAGAAACAAATGAACAATTGGTTGATGAGTATGCCCAGATATCCAGAAACAGCTATATAATTGTTCAAAGAATCCCCTCATGGATGTCAAAGACTGGATTTACACTTAGAGAAAGAAGGGCTGAGCCATCAGCCTCGTCCATCAAAAGAATGGTCAGAGAGCCACCAGAAAACTATGTGTGCTTTCGATGCGGAAACAAGGGCCATTTTATACAGCACTGCCCCACAAATAACGACAGAAACTTTGACATCCTGAGAATCAGAAAGCCTTCAGGCATCCCAAAGGATTTTTTAGTGAAGGTAACTGGGAGCATGGAGGGAAGCTCGGCAAGGCTTGTCACGCCAGAGGGATTCGTAGTAGTAAATCCGCAGGTGCAGGAGTGGCAGAGACAGGGCGAGCAATACCTGGGGCTTAAGGAGATACCTGACTCGTTAAGATGTTCTGTGTGTGGTGGGCTGTTTAGAGATCCTGTTTCAACAAACTGTGGCCATGTTTACTGTGACAACTGCGTACTTATTGATGACAAATGTGGTAAATGTGGGAAGATTATCAACAGAATTGATTTTGATGAGGAGATTGCTAATAAAGTCAGTGCATTTCTAAAAGAACGGGCAGGAAATGCATGATAGATACACCTTCAGTAGCTAAGTGGACCTATCAAAGTGCGATGCAAACAAAGATATTTGAACAATCATAGTTGCAATATGCAGATTTAATCTAATAATTCATGGTGTGCGTTCATTAAGGCTTAACTGTTTAACGAATCTTTTTGAAGAGGAAATATTCATAAAAGGGCTTAATTGTAATGCGATCGACATCACTGGCATTTAAATCTTCAAGTGTCTGATACCTCATATCAAAGTCTGTGAACTCGAGATTGTACTTGACCTCTAAGTCCTTAATCAATCTGTCAAGCTCAGGAACATACTTGATTATTCTACAATGCATTAGTCTCTGTGTAAAAACTATGGCGCGCATCTTTGATTGAACGATATCTAAAAACATGTGTCGAACACAGCTGCAAAACTTCTGAACCAACTCGGCAGTGAGTGAATAGTTGAAAGGATAGGCCATCTGGAATAGCACATTAATGACTCTTTTAAAATCATATCCGCAATCCTTGTAGATCTCAAAGATGGTCAAAATGCCTTCTAAAGCAGCACCAACATCTGCGATCTTTATAGCGTCCAGCAGTAAAGTATAGAGTCCTTCATGGAATTCTTTCCTGATGATTCTAATATACTTTCGTACACCAATAAATGTATCCTCAAAATGGACCTTGTCCTGATCTTTCAATATTGTAAAATACAGTCTCTGCATTGCATTTACTGTTTTAATATAGGTTTTCTCATTTATGGAATTTAGCTCATATTTTTCTTGCATTTTGGTCTCTTTTTGAAGCTGGAGTCTCTGCTTTTCATCTTTTCGCTCCTTTTTGTCCACCAAAAACTTCTTAGAAAAGAAGCCTTTGCCAGGTTTCTCCAGCTTTTCCTTCTTTCTCTTTTCGATACTTTCTTTTTCGTAGTAGCATTCTTTTTCAATTCTTATTTCGACGCATTTTTGCAAATACTGGGATTCTAGCATGGCTTTAACAATATAATGGCTGAATCTGTAGTCCAAGCATCTGTCAACTATAATGGAAATAGTATCGCCTACTTGGTCATTCTTAATTCTGTCAACAAGTGCCTCGGTACAATGCATTGCAACTGAATGGGACCTTGTTGTTCCCAACAAGACCTTGGCAACAATTCTATCTGAGAAATTAAAATGGTCAAGGGATTTGAGTAGCTCTGCTGCCGACTTGTAGCTTTCAGCACTGTCCGAATTACAGATTTCTTTTACAAACAAATTGTATTGCTTGAATAGTGTTCTGTCAAATTCCGTGATGCTGAGATTTTCATTCTTGTGCTTGACTTTATTCGAGTGCAGTCTAATGCGATATAACGGCGCAATATTCTTAAACACCTTTGTGAGCGACAGAAAGAGCACACCCTTGTCTTTATTTGCTTGAAGAAGAATAGATACCTCATTTATATTCTTTTCTGGTTCATTTATTATTTTGGTGCAAATTTCAGCAATTCGCTTCTTTTCAACCTCTACCATGGGAAGTAAAAAAAATTGAAAAAAATTACCGCAATGATTGCTGTTCTGGATGCAAACAACATTATTCAAAGAGAAATTCCAACGCAGGGAAGCGATAAAATATATACGACACATTCAGTTATAGAGGAAATTAAGGATAAAGGATCGCGGGAGTATTTAGAGTCGCATCTGTTTCGCATGTCAGTGAGAAATCCGCAAGACGAGTATGTACAACAGGTGAACAGAGTAGTAAAAGCATTACTCTTGTATCTAAGTAACACTGATGTAGATGTTGTTGCTTTGACACTCGAGCTCACTGAGGAGCTTAATGAAGAATGGATCGGGCTTGATAATATTAGTTCTGATAAAGCAGTAAAATGTCTTTCTAAAGACAACGGAGTTCAGAATGCATTAAACAAGCTTGGACTGCTGAACGACGCAATGTATTTGGAGAAGAAGCTCAAGCTAAGATGCTATGCTTGTTCAGAAATGTATGATTCCCACGTAGATTTTTGTAAAATTTGTGGATACAACACTATCACAAGAGTAACTGTGGTTGACACTGAGGATGGCGAAAAGGTGTTGTTGAAGAAGAATTACATGCCCAGACAGAAGGTGTTAAAGGGGCCTGGCGGTGTGGAAATATTGTCTGCAGATCAAAAAGAATACCTAAAGTTGATAAAGCAGAGAGAAAAAGCCCTTAAATTTCAGAGCAAATTTGACTTTTATGAACAGTAAACGAGCACATATCATCTTTGAGATTATTTCACCGAGATGCTGTGCATTTTCTCTAACCATAAAACATTAGTGCATGTTTTTATGTGAGCTTAAAAAGAGTTTCATGGGCATTTGAAAAAATATTTAATAAATCTTCAACTTTGTGGATCTCCAATTTCTTCGCTTAAAGTTGTATCCGTCTCTTGGCGAGAGCGTCTCTCTCTTCCAAGCAGGAACGGCCTGATTCATTCTAAATGCCTTGGCTAGTCTTCTCTTGACCAGTGTTGACTTTCTGGAACCCATTTTGGGGATAGAAAATTTTGCAAAAAATGGCAAAAAGCAGCAACAGATTATTTTTATACACAAGCATAGTCATAAAAACACTACAACCAAGCATGCAATCTTTCGATAGGAATTTTGTAAAGCGGTTATCTTACGGCTTTTAATTTACTGGTGTTTTTTTAGACTACTTTTTCTGAACCAGCATAGCTGGTTAAACTTGTAATTCAGAAGAATTTTGAGAGATATGATATGGAATACAAAGAACATAATCAGAAGGTGTTTAAGAGGAAAATAGAGCACCGAACAAGCTAGAAAGATAGATAGGCATTCGAGAATGCCATGAATAATGAAAACGGCAACTCCAATTCTGTACTTGAGGGTGCCAGTAAACGAGTTTCCAATAATAGAATGAAGAAACTTGAAGGCGTCGGAGAGAAACCAGAAGAAGTAGATAATATGTGAAAACGATGTAATTGATAGCAATCCAAATATCACATAGACCATATAGATTCTGAGTGCACAGCTTATCAGTGAATTGTTGGTGCGACAGTGTTTATATTGTAGTGTTCCAAGAAGAGGAGATAAACACAGAACGAATTTAAACAAGATGTTAATGATGTCCGATGTTTCACACTGGAGCTGGATGGGCTCTAGTGGATGCTTTGCAAATTGGTTATATTCAAGTAAGCTTCTGTCCATCATCGGTAAAAAATTGGCTTACTGATTTTTCAAAATTAAATAAGAATATTGGAGGATAGTAGATACTATGGTTTATTGGCAATTGCCAGTTATGCAGCATTTGGACCATCTCTGGTACTCTGTCCATCGGCCAGATACACTAAATAAGATCCATCTCCCGATTGAATCGCCAAACATTTTTTCAAAAATATATTTAATCTACACAGCGGAATGGTTTGCATCGATCTATTTGTTGTTTGAAAGGTTTTCACCCATGGAGGAATACATTGGGAAGAGTTTGAGAATAAAAACCGATGCCGGTCTGCTTGAAGGGAAAATGTGCTCTATTGATGCAGAGAATGGCATACTTGTAGTTGAGAATAATAGCAATCGGCAGGAGGTAAAGTTTGGCGACATTGCCAATATTTCTCTTGCCGATGATGAAGACGAAAAGAGTGTGGCAGCGCCGCTCAAGGAATCAGACATGTATATGCTGCTTTACGAAGCCTTCAATGTTTTTGGGCCGCTCGAGGATCATTTTATTTATACTATTGCATGCTCACTGAAAAAATTTCTCAAAGACATTGCTACTGCTAGTATCAAAATAATTATAGGGTCTGATGACATTTTTGGGCGAATAGGCCTTTCCTTTGCTCGACTTGTTCTAGACAGAGCACAGAAGGTCTCCATTGAGCTTAGATGTGACATCTATGACGTAAACACAATCAGGTACAAGAGTGTGTTTGAAAATTCAGGAGGATGTTTTAACCAATATTCAAATGAAAGCGTCTTTACATTGATTCTCTTCGCTGCAAATCGGAATTTTAATTTTTGTTTGGGAGATTATACTGCAGGCCATGTGCTTTTACTGGACATTCCTAGTGTTATCGGCTTTCAGAATTTTACTGGGCTAGGTCTTGGATTTATTCCTGAGCACTTTGCAAACTGCAACAAATTTTATTATTTGATTGATGTAGGATTTGGTAAAACACTTGCAAAGAAGTACAAGCTGCCACAGGACTTCAAAAATAGCTTGGTGAAGATTGAAGTTTACAAATAAAGCATACAGGCTTATTGCGTCTTTTGTCAGTTTAATTAGTATGCTCTTAAAACCAACTAGATATTAACTTGCTGGTTTTATGTGTGCGGCAGATTAATTTTAAATGCAGATTAGATTTAATTAATTTATACTTTCCTCAACTTCATGTCGCCGGCTTCTTGAAAAAGCAGAAATATCCGATAATAGCCAAGGAACCTACAATGTAGTACACTAAAAGAGCAATTATGAAGTTTTTCCATGTAAATATACTTGCGTCCTCTTTTAGAGTGTTTAAAATGTCTTCTGGCACATTAATATCCAGTGATTCAATATCCTCTACATCAATTTCAATGATCTCAAGGTTGGAGGCATCAACTTCGAACAATTTCTTCAGACCATTTTTGTTGTCTATATCAACCAAAAAAACTATATTTTCAACAGTCTTTACCGTGTTTAAGTTAACTGTAACTATAAATCTGCTGGTTTTGTTTTGTATTCCAAGATATGATCTGTCATTATCCGGGCTAACTTTAGGAAACCTCAAATTTTCGATCTTTGAAGGTATGAAGGAGGCCATACTAGTTTTTTGATCAATCTCATAAAACATTTTGCATTTGTTAAAACATATAGAACAACACTTAATTGTTTTATCCTTGATGCTAGTACTGTTTGTACATATTTCGAGACTGTTGGCAATAGCGTCTCCATTATTGTCTGTTTTGTTCACGATAGAGATTACTTGAAAGAGATTTTTGAAAAATGGACAGCAGGAATCCTCCGTTTGGGAGCCATTTGGTGTCAAGTCATAATGTCCACACCATAGATATGGTGTAGAGACATTTCCGAGCGTGTAAACTAATTTGCTTAACAGAAACAGAAACTTCATCACGGGGTCTTGAAAAAAAACTTTTAAGGAGAAGTTTAGCGAAAGTTGAATACTGATCGATGTTTTAAGTGCATGTAAAGATTATGCCTGTACGTTGTTGGGCGCAGAGACAATTTCCGTAATGCTTTGCTCTTCTCAATTAGTCTCCGTTTAAATAACTTCCATCTAATAAATTGCCAAACAAGAACAGAAACGATGGAGACATTGCAAGTACTTACACAGTCTGGCATTCCATGAGGCCAGGATTTATCAAAGCAACTGCAGATGTCTCAACCTCCACTCTGCTGCTCCCACTCACCAACCACTTCATGCGTGCCCACTCTAAAAATCACTTTGGTCAATGGCTTAGATATACTCTTTAAGCATATGTTTCAAATTCTGGCTAATTTACAATAACATGCCTTTCTAGTTTAATATCTAAATATTCATCCCATCATTTACCCTCAATCTTCTGTTTGTCCTTGGAAAATTTTTTATGACTTTCAGACAAATATTTAGGCTTGATTTCATATCTTTTACCTACACATCTGCATTCAGCCATTGGTCTGCGCGGCATGCAATACAAAATAATGTCTTGGTATGTAAAGAGAGACAAATCCCGGGAATCAGAAGCATGCACTGCTCCACCGTGTAGAGCTGGTGTACTGCAAAATTTTCTTTTCTTGTGATCTGATAAAATCACCCCTTGATAATGGCAACGGAAAAACAGCTGTCAAACTTTAGTGCCATCGCATCAATTGTGGCAGCTACTCTCGGCTGCGGAATCACGCTTATGCCTAGTGTGTATCTCTATCTAGGAAGCCTCATCGCCACTATTTTGATGCTTAGCGTTGGCCTACTCACCTTCTTCTCCATATACTCTTTGAGCTACGTTGCCATAGAAGTGAGGAAAAAGGTTGCACTGCCAAGGATCACAATTGAAATGGCCGAAACAGTCCCCATGCAGTCAGAGGAAATAGATCACGTGCAGCCAGAGCCAGAGGAGGTCTTGGGCAAAAAGCTCTCATAC